AAAAAAAAAGAGCTCAACAAAAGACCATTCCTATAGCTTTATGACAATCTCATTCCTCCTCTGCAATGGCTCCCTTTTCACTAACATAGATACCATCAAGGAACTTCCTAATATCTTTCTTCTTCACATGGCATTTCTGCACAAATATACATTATAACATATGAGAATCGATCTTCGTGTGCTTTTGCAACGACAGCATAAAGATGAAAAAGTAAAATAACTAGCAAGATACAAAAAAATAAAATAAAACAACACACGATTGGAAAAGAAAAGCTATTGACACGACAAAAACTCCATGACACAACACAACACAATATGCAGAGCGTAAAAGTTTGGTTAAACTTAGATTTAAATATCAAACTTATGATCAAATGGGCACGACACAAAAACTGCATGACACGTAAAAAGTTCGGTTAAATTCAGATTTAACTAAAACTTATGATCGACCAAAACGAATAACATGGAAACAAGATAGTGAAACCCGAACACAACACATTAGAACGATTTGCCACTCCTAAGATGAAAAATAGGCAAATGCTTATGGATATGATATGCAAGTGAAGGTGCACGAAAAAAGATTGGTGTTTGATGGTTAAATTCCTCCATTGGAACCGAAATTGAAATATTTTTAGTTACGTAATCGTTCACAAAATTTGTATGCATCATTTAAGGATATCAAAAGAATCACATGGATATTTACCTGATTTATCAAGGCAGCTGACCTAGAAACGAGCTCGATATCGTTACCATCCAAAACTAATTCATCCTTCACCTTCTCAGATCGCACGACAGAAACCCCTTCAAGCATATCCACCTTTCTCACCTGGTATAACATTTTTCTGTAAGCTAATGTTATCCAATAATCAATAACATACTCAGCTCTAGCTAAATTATATTTACAAACATTTTTAAAAAAATTCCAAAATAGTACAATTATAAATAAATAAATTAGTAGAGAGACGTTGCCAATGAACAATGAAGTATATGCATTGCAAAAATGAAAGCTTAACCCTAAATAATCAGAGAAGTCTATCTTGCATAACACAAAAATGGAGATTAATTCACACTGAAAACTTCACTCAGCAGATTATAGCCATTTTTAAACTAAATATCCCCAAAACTAACAACAGGGCCACACAAATGTACAAACGGGTAAAGCAATTTACAGCTTAATACAACAAAAACACATGGAAAAACAGAGAGGAGCTAAAAATTTCTCATACCTTCTTCTCGCCAAGGAAGTTACGGATTTCAATAGCCTTTCCACCGTTGGTGATGGAGGCGTTGATGGGAAAGTGAGCGTACACGAAACGCATCTTGTAGCGGTAGCCCTTCGTGACGCCGTTGATCAGGTTGGTGACGTGGCTGAGCGCCGTGCGGATAGCTGCGGTGGTTTTCCGGCTGCTGAACCAGGCGTCTACCTTCAGCTTCTTCTTCCCCGTGGTCTCGTCGGTGATGAGCTGGAAATCGAGGTTCAGGTGCTTGAAATTGCGCGCGAGCTTGCCCCTAGGACCCTCGACCTCGATCATCTTCGCCTTCACCTTGATCTTCACGCCGTCGGGGATATCCATGGTGTCGGAGGAGAGAATCGCCTTCATTTTCGTCGTCGGTCGTCTTTTGCTCCGGTGGTGCGTGTGAGAGAGGAAAAAATGAGCTGCTTCTGAGGTCTGAGCACACTTATTATGACGAGTGTAAAGGAGCAAAGCCCTAGTCTATTATTGGGCTATTTTGAATTGGGCCTGCTTTGGGTGTAATGTAAAATTTTATTGGACTACTTTCAAGTCCTCCAAATTGCCACCAAGATGACTACCAAGGCCCGTGGGTTTGGGCGAGGTAGGGCCCTTTTTTTTTTTTTTTTTTTTTTTTTTTTTTTTTTTTTTTTTTTTTTTTTTTGAAAAACATTTTCAGCTTTTACAACGTGGAGGCAAAATTAAAAGGGAAAAAGACGTATCGACGAAGTCATTAAGAAAATTATTTTTAAAATTTGATAATAATAACAATAATTGTTAAAATTAAATATATGTATTTATTAGGCTAATTTGAAGTTTTCATAGAAATTAATGAGATGATTGAGAGCTTCCAAAATAAATAAAGGTTATATTAGTCAATCAGTATAACTACCAAAGGTTCCCATACAACCTAAGGGTTATATTAGTCAAACTATTATGAAATTACCAAGTTAGTTTTTCAATATTTTTTGAATGTCCGAACCTATAATTATTATTTAGAATAATATTATTTTTTATCAAAACTAAACTACGAAGTAATGTAATTTTAAATTTTGTTAAATTTTCAGTCCCAAAGAACTGAAATTGCATTGAAATTTAAAATCATATGACCAAAATAGCAAAAATGTCCAATTCTTAAGACAAAAAACGCCATTGTATCAAAACTAACAAGATTAAAATTATAATTTTGCCTTAATTTGGATAAAAAAATACATTGGACAAAGGAACATTTATTGAGCTAAAATTTCGAGAATACAACCGTGAATGAGGAAAATCCAACGATAAGTCGATCAAATAAAATGAATTTTGTGGGAAGGCACATGAATTCCCCTGATAGAGAATGTCAAATTTGGGCCCAAATTTTTTCTTTGGATAAAAATTTTAGTGGTCAAACTAAAATAATTGAGTATTAATGTAAAATATAAAACTAAAGTTTAAAATTAATTAAGAATAACCTCAAAGAAATATTAAAATTCATGCATTAAATTGATACAATTAAATTAATCTATACCTTGTAATGTAATTTCTACTTTTATTAGATAAATACAATAAGGTTAGGGGAGATGGTACGGTCCCGTTACAGAATCACTCCGTGGAGATTTGTAACTGTTAAATCTAACTATTCTCAATGGTTATATGATGATCTAACGATTACAAATCAGACGAAATGATTTCGTAATTAGATCGTAGCATCTCCTTAAGGTTAGATTACGTTTGAAAGCGAACAGACCTACTTCTTCGCGACGTGCATCCTGTTTTTTTTTTTTTCGATATTTTTTCAATAATCCCGCCAAATACTTTATTTACTAACCGTCAGAGAATAAAATAAAAGTAAAATAAAAAAAAAAATATACGAAATAATGTACAGATACAGAAAAGCCGGTATTATTACTCTTCTACACACGCCTTTGCCCAATAAATAACACCCACTGATTTCCCCCAAAAAAAACTAATAATCACAGCTAATTTCACCGCCCATACAAAACACACACACTAACACGCACTGCCGCATCGATTTCCTCTCATTATTTTGCGTTTGTTTGCAGCTATCATCGTTCGTTTAGCCCTCGGTTGAATCGCCATTAAAAAAGCTTCGCAGGTTATCAGAAGCTATCGGCAAACTGATTGCAAATTGTTTGTTTTTGGTTTTTTTTTTTTGGGTTAATTTCGTTATAATTTGCACAAAATCTACGGGTAAATGGGGAGGAAGGGCCGAGGAGTAGCCAAAGGGCGGATATCGAGGATCGGCAGCTACGCAATCGCCTCGTCGATTAAGGACCCCTCGTGCGTCTCCTGCACGACGTTCAATATACTCGCGCCTATTTACAAGAGGCTCAATCACGAGGTAGGTGTTTGATGTGTTGTATGAGCTACGCAGGTGTTTGATGTGTTGTATGAGCTACGCAGTTTGTGGATTGGGAGAGGTTTTTGCTTTGTTTTTGTTTTTTTTTTTTTTGTTTGGGAAATGCGTTTGCGTCAGTTGCTCTGTTTTTAACATGTTTTTTTCTGCGAGTAATTTTGAGGCGGTGATATTTATTTAGTAGTTTTCTGTTTCATTTGTTGGTAATTTTGTTGTAATGTTGCATTCTGGGTGGTTTTAGGATCCAAATTACAGGGAAAGCGATGTTAAAGATTATTGGCTGGATAGGAACCAGAGGATTCTGGATTGGTTACTGTGTGAAAGATCTTCCATCATCTGTCTTCAGGTTCAGTTTAAGCCTTTTGTTTTTCCCCTTTGCTGCTCGGTAACTCGATCGATATTCTAGCTAAAGGGCGTGCTATGATTGGGCTGTTTGCAGGAATTTTGGGTTGGGAATGAAGAATTGGTGAATATTTATGATAAGAGGCTTTGTGATGCTGGTTATATTAATTTCAAGCTTGCCCGGACAAATAACCGTGGGGATGGTATGTGGCTATTGCTTGTTTTCGGGGTTCGGAGATATTTCTATTTTGATTTTGACTTTCGACTATTTGTGATTTGTGATTTCTAAGTTTGTTCTGTACATGTGGGAGGTTATGAATCTGTTTTATTTATTTAATTAGTTTGGCAAATTTTGACCATCTCATTTGGGCTCTACATTATCTGTGGAATTTTATTTGGTACATTTTTTCTTTTCTATTTAGCCTTATCCATAGAATTTCCCCTTGATGTTCAATTGTCCATTCTCATGTTGACTTATACTTCCAGTTGCATAACATATGTTTGAGTCTTTGGTAGGTGTAAAACAGATCAATGTAGGATTACAAGTTCAGTCGAGGATTTTTATTTTTGGAATTACTATTTTCTAGAAGGATCACCTAGAAACAAGATTTAACTGTATATGATTTGTCGTGGTCAATTGAAGCTCGATCTCTTTTTGAGGAAAATATTTGTTCCTTTGTTTTTAAGTGCTACTTGTTCGTCAATATCATACTTTAGCTGATAGAAGCACGTTATTTGTGAGCCCATGCTATCATCACTTAAAGAACTTATCTGTGCTGTGTTTATTCACTTGATTTGTTTCAAGTTCCTATGTTAAGTTATTGTTTCTTTAAATTTGACCAGGTCTTCTGACTGCCGTACATAAAGACTATTTTAGAATCATCAATCATCAGGAGCTGCTCTTCAATGATTTTGGGGACCGTGTTGCTCAGCTTTTGCACGTTGAGTTAGTTGCGCCCATCGCGCAATACCGAAACAATAATGTCCGACAGGAACTTCTTATAGTGAATACCCATCTATTGTTTCCACACAATTCGAGTCTGTGTTTGGAACGTTTACGTCAGGTAAATTCTATTGCTTTGCTATTAATATTCTTATTCTGTTGGTATAAGTTGGTCATTTAATTTCATTGTTTCATGTTGTAATGATAGGTCTACAAGATATTGCAATATGTGGAATCGTACCAAAAAGAAAACAAGCTCAATCCATTGCCTATCTTGCTGTGCGGGTATATATTCCCTACACTTTTGTTTATGCAATCAACAGGTCTCCTTGTAAAAATATGGGATGATATATAATGCTTTTGTTTTTGTTTTTTTCTCAAATTACAGTGACTGGAATGGGAGCAAGAGGGGTCATGTTTATAAGTTTCTTAGATCTCAGGGATTTGTGTCATCATATGATACTGCTCATCTGTATACTGATGCAGATGCTCACAAGGTAAAACTATTTCTCAATTCTTGCTCAGTGTTTTTGTCATATTTATTTTAAGATTGATATATATATTTCTATTAATTTGTTAGGTTAAGTGAAATATCGGGGTCGCCTATATATAGTCAATAATATTATAATCAAATTATATGCTCGAAAAAAAAAAAATGGGAAAAGAATCTGTGTGATATATCTCATGATTTATCAGGACAAATTATATTTATAGAAATCAAATAATGTGTAGAAAATAATAGATTCTGATATATATTGAAACTAATTTATAAAGTTCCTGTTTTCTGATATGCTGTGATTTTCTGTAGTGGATAAGCCACCGCAACCATCGAGGAAACATCTGTGGTGTTGATTTCATATGGCTGCTTAATCCCAACAGATACAGGAAGTTACTTAAAACTAGTTGGAGCGAAGCTGTATTCGGCATGTTTAAGGTGAGATTTATTATAAATACTGGAAATTTCTGGAATTTAAAGAAGTTTCAGTCATTTCATTCATATTGCTTAGGCGTTGTCGGACACGTTTCAACTTTGAACCTTCGAATCATCGAATGTATAAATATTACTATATAACATCATATTAGCAGCATTTATGATGATATTGTTTGGGTCCCTTTATTTTTTTGCTTTTGTTTATTTGACATATTACTGTTCATTGTAAGTATATCTGCTTCTTATTCGTCTTTGCAGTATCAACTTAGACGAGCATCATTGACAGAGGATGATGCCTTTGCTTTTCTGAAGGCTGATAGCCAGGGTGATTACATTACCTACTTGGGTTTCTGTGAAGCATTAAGACATGTAGGTAGCAGTCAGCCACTTCTATCTTTTTAGAAAAATGTGGTTTCTTAATTTGCATATATTCTTGAATAATGCGTTTAAGTAAATTTTCTCGGTTTTCTTACAGCTTAATCTGATTGGGCATTGTAACGGACTCAGTGCTGAAGAGATACAGGAACTGTGGGAGCAAGCGGACATTGACGGAAATGGTGTCCTCGACTATAAAGAATTTAAGGTATTGGGTCCTTGCTCTTTTTTTTTTTTTTTGAGATTCATTTATCTACACACATTGTTTCTGGGTATCTTCCTATTCAACCGGAGTTTAAATAAGATAATAATATCATATATAGATAACACAACAGCTAGCATTGTGTTCATCACAGAAATTTGCCCTTGAAAGTTCACTCTAATGATAAAGCAACCCAAGTTTTTTTCAGAACTACGAAAATCCTTAGTGCAATTTGTGTTCATTTTGCAATTTACAGTATTTCTGAAAATAATGGAACCCTTTGTAATCAGACTAAATCTTGTGGATACTTTCTGAGTTTGTCGCCAAATCTATGGTTCGTCTATTTTTACTGGGTAACCATATGATATGCAAGGAGGATTTCATTAGGGGAACATTTAAAAACGAAATTAGGTCTCACAGTTCATTTTTTTCCTTGAGATATTGGGGTGTTTGTGTGTATGTGTTTGCTTAAAAATCTAACTCACTTTTAACTCAACCACACTATCCTCAATATTATCAGTATAATTGAATAATATCATCAATCATTCTTAAACAAAACATCAACTTTAATTCACTATTTATCACTCACATAATTTTAACTAACCATCAAATATCATATTTCTCTTATTTTTACATCAAATCAATTTTAATTATTTTATTTTTAATATTATTTTAATATAACCTCAAAATCCCACTAACAACTAACCATGCCAACTTTTTTCAAAAGTAACTCTGATTAATTTTAATATTCTTTTTTTTTTTTTTAATATGCTGCACCTGCAGCAAAGGATATGGAATGCCTCACTGTCCGAGCAAGGAGTCGAGTTGAGGGAAGAGTCTTGTGACGATGTTGTAAATGGCACGGAGCAAACTATTGGATTTAGTGTAAAAAATGCAGTCCTCTTTCCCACAGAAGTCGAGAAAGGGATGTGGCCCGAGGATTATTCACTTTCTGACCACGCTCGACTAACCGTGGTCTTTTCACCGGTTAGAATGCCTTGCTCTCGTTTGACGCCTTGATAATTTTATGAGCTACGAGAAAATGTTTTTCCTTTTCTCGTGAGTTTAGAGGCTTTTCGAATGCCTTTGTAAATACGACGTGAATAGAAAAATTGTTTTGAGGATAGGGAAGTTTATACATTGTACAGGTTAGGGATGGCTATCTCATCTTGTAGTTTAGTGAGATATGCAATGCAATATTCCCTTACTCCCTTTGTACCATTGTATATGTATTATGAGAACTTTTTTCTTTCATAAAATTAAATATGTCTTCTTCATTTATATAATTAGAAAATGCTACGGTCCATTACGGAACATTTTCGTAGGGTTTGTAACCGTTAGATCATCATGTAACCGTCGGGGATAGTTGATCTAACGGCTACAAATCTCGACGGATCGGGGATAGTTGATCTAACGGCTACAAATCTCGACGGAATGATTATGTAACTGGACCGTAGCATCTCTCTATATAATTGCAAAATTATAAACTAAATTAAACTGGTATTTTGCTTTGGAAGCCATGGATCATTCAGTGTGTGCAAAAAGATTCCTATCCTTTTTGCCTTGGCCACAAAGGCATTGACCATTTCAAACAAATCTTTATTCAACAGTTTCACACGGCTTTGAGTGACACTTTCTGTTTTTATCAAGTTTTAGACGCAAGTGGATGCAACATATGTTTTTATTATTCAGTAAAAAATTACTACACCAAATAACAAATAAAATATTATTTTTAATATATATTTTAAAAAAACATTAATGTGATTATTATATATTTATACCTACTAACCTTATTAATTAGTATTTTATTATTTTTAAATGGCTACCAAGTACCAATCTAATTAATTTGATATATTATCAATTTTATTATTTCATAGTGTTTTAATGTTGTTTGTACCTCATGTTCATGTATCCCATATTTTTTTAGAAAAATATTATAAATAGCAATAAAACGAATTATGGTCTCCATTAAAATTTTAAGCTCACTGTCACTACAGCTGCTAGAAACTAGAACACAGGCGAGTAAATAAATACGTAGTGCTACGTCATTTCAAATGGCCCACGCGAGAGCTCGACAACCTTTCCACGTGGCAACTAACTATTGGGTGTATGACTGATGAGTGTACCACCCTCCTCGCTCTTTTATCTATCTAGCTTGCCCACTACGTTTCGGTATATTCCCATTTATACCCCTTTAAATTTCTGCTTCATTATTATTATTATACCACCATAATTCGTACTAATAAGAGTAGATGTGATTAAAAATCATAAAAGAAGAAATATAAATAAGTAATAATTAAAACTATATAAGTTGTCAATGTGTAGTAATATTTTGTTTTTACCATTTATCCGATTGTAGAGACTAAAACAAAAGTACATGAATAATGAATTAAAAATTACGCATATTAAAGTTATTTTTACAATTAAAAAAAATTATCCAACAAAATAATGTATGAAAATAATTTACATTCAATCACTTTCAATATTTAATTCCAAAAAAGAAAAAAAGAAGCTAATAATAATAAAAAAGACTAATGCACTTTTTTTTATTTAAGATTTTCAATCCCCGTTTGGGGGCAAAATAGAGATTTCACATTCATACGGTACAAGTATATACACCGGCTAATAGTACTATAGTTATAGTAGTCACCTTCCTTGTCTATACTTGCTCAGAATATTCCTCTGAAAATTTCCTTCTTCAAGCCCAAAAAAATTTCCCTGAATTTCTTTCAGCTATTTTTTTGCCTGCTAGGGCTTTAGTGTGATAATTTATAGTTTGATCGGTAATGGCTGTGTTTCCGGCGACAGCTTTGCCGGTTGGGTACAGATTCCGGCCGACGGACGAGGAGCTTATCGACCACTATCTAAGGAACAAAATCAATAGGCGGGACAAGGAAGTCAGTGTGATTCGTGAAATTGATATCTGCAAGCAGGAGCCCTGGGATTTGCCACGTACCTTTTTCTTTCTTAATTGCCTTTTTTTTTTTTTTTTTTT